TCACACACACACACACACACACACACACACACACACACACACACACACACACACACACACACATTTGCCTCGTTTTGCAGGCTTGATCACAAACTCATTACCTCTATAACTGCTTTTAGCTTATCTTAGGCATACACACACCTGCAGAACACAACAGGTTTGTCCTTGAATATTTATTACACTAAATTCATACCTCCTTAGTGACCCTTTATCACTGAAACACCACTAATTTTTCTCAGTATTATTTCTTTTATATTCTTCTAAATGCATAAAAATTCACTATTAGTGGGCTATTGTGATACATTTAATGCTATGAGTCATTTTTAACAAGTTTTTTGGAGCATGGCTTAAAACAGTTCTCTATTGAGGATACGCAAGTAAAATAATTTATAACTGTTTTGTCAGATAAAAGCAAACTTTTGGTTTCTTTCAGCTTTTGGACGTAGCTCAAAATGTCTTAGATGTTAGAAACCCATTTAGTGACTTAGCACACTTACAAATTCTTGCTCACTAAAGTGACCGACTAAGATTAAACTAATAGTAGCTGAAAAAAATCAGTAACATCTCATCAAAATTTTAAAAAAAAAATCAGCCCAATTTCCCCAATCCATGTATACAGGATGCATCTTAATACTACTTAGAGTAGAGAGTTGGGTGTTCGTCTTGTAATTGGAAGGTTGCCGGTTCCAGCCCCGGCTCGGACAGTCTCGGTCGTTGTGTCCTTGGGCGAGACACTTCACCTGCCGCCTACTGGTGTTGGCCAGAGGGGCTGATGGCGCGATATGGCAGCCTTGCTTCTGTCAGTCTGCCCCAGGGCAGCTGTGGCTACAACTGTAGCTGCCTCCACCAGTGTGTGAATGTGAGAGTGAATGAATAGTGGAATTGTAAAGTGCTTTGAGGGGTCCCGAAAAACGCTATATAAATGCAATCCACTATTATTATTACTTATTGCATTAAATCGTGACATTGAAATTCATTATTACCATTAATTTAAATCAAACAACAGGAAATTAATCAACGACTGTTTGGATAATTGAAGTCATTTCTGGCCAATAACATGAAACATTTGACAAATCTGTGCCAGTTTTTACATTAACGGAATTTCTTTATTCTTCAAACTGTTAATCAGACACCGCTAGACATTTGACAATGCTGTCTGGAGTCTAGAAAAATGCGACAGCGATTCTTTTTCTAATGTTTTATAGAACAAATATTTGGTTAATAAGCAGCAATAATCTCAGAAGAGTCATTAGCTGGAGCTATGAAAGAAATATCGTGCACTGGCACATTTATCATATTGAATCACGTCCTCTTGTGATAAGTTATCAACACACTGGTGCCAAATACTTAACGTTTTTATTAAAGCATTCAGGAGATCTAAACGGGCTACCCTGCCAGTCTTAGGTCACTTAAAGACTCCTTATGGTGGAGCGTATAAAATGAATGAGGGTAAAGTGAAGAGAGGGGTGTCACTGTACTGTGATGTGTTACTGTAAACAACCTAATGTAATAATATCATATTGAAAACTGATCCTTGGCTCTCAGCCCCTAGTGTATGCCAGTTATAATATGCATGATATCCGTACTGTTCTTTTATGACAGAAATAATAATTGTGTATACTAAAATGAAATCGTGATTATTTAACTATTGGCTTTACAAACACACACATTCATTAACAGGGGACGTGGTGGGAACACTGGGTTATCATGTTGAAAGCTGGGCCCAGACTGTGGGTCCAAGTGAGGCCTGTGGCTCGGCAAAGATGTGGAGAGTGAGGGAGAGCTGTCCTGACGTGAAGTGGGCCTGGCAAGAGACCATTAGCAATGTGGAGAAAAAGGCAACTGTAGGCAATCATTAATGATCCAACCATTAATGAGCCCTCTGCAGGTTTATCCATGCAAAGTGTGTTTCAACTTTTTAATTCCCACTAGAAAGATTTTGTTGATCAAAGGCTCATTTTCAGTTATTTGAAATAGAGTTGAACCAGTAACTGATTTTTTTTTAAAGAAGGTCAAAAAGTGCACAGCTACAAAGAAAAGAGGAGCGCTGAATTTTTAAAAAATGAATGAGGGACAATAATTATTTTATCCATGTAAGCTTGTAGATGTAGAATACAGAAAAGACTAGTCATGCACAAAAGTAAATGTAACAATATAACAGTAAAGGTTGGTGTAATTTTGCTGTAATAGTACTGCTAAAGGGCACTTTGGCAAAAATTTGCCACTGCTGACAGAAGGAATTGAACCAGTAACTTTGTTAGCTAACCTGATGACCTGTAAATGTGTGTCTGTGTGCGCGCAGCCACTGATTGCACGCTGCTAATGATTATTATTATGTCTAGTGTCACTTTGGATCAGGTCCATTATAAACACACACACGCGAATGTGACCTGCCCCGTGACTTTCTTGTCTCTTTCTCATTCAAATGAACACCGTGTGTGTTTGTGAACGAAGGTCTATCTGTGTGCGTGCGCGTCTGCGTGTGCGGGGGTGCGAGACGACAGGGGTAGTCTAGCTCCTTCTGGCTAGAATTATAATGAGCAACACACACATACACTCGCGCGCGCACACACAAACACAGAGCCAGACAAGCAGCTGATAATGAGGTTTGATTTTCATATGTTTCAGACAGAATGCTCTGCAGGTCAGGTAGTACACAGAGGAGCAGTGTGTGTGTGTGTGTGTGTGTGTGTGTGTGTGTGTGTGTGTGTGTGTGTGTGTGTGTGTGTGTGTGTGTGAGAACACTGAGTGAATGATTTCCGGTCTCCTTGTTGGACTTTACATACTGTCACTTTTTCCATTGTTAACATTGATGGCTTTGCGTGTCCAGTACAGTACGAGGTGTGTTGTTTGCATTTGTCTGTGCTTTGTTTCCATTTCGCTGATGTTTCTGATGTCAGCACAGCAGGGATTCTATTTAATTTTTATTCATTTCCTTTATCATCCCACAGCTCAGCCAGACTCCTGCAAACCAGAAAAAACAAATATTCTTAAGACATGCAGAAACATAACTGTAACTGTGTGGTCAGGATAATGTCTTTTATACAGTTTTACATTTTTTACTGTAATAATTTTGGTGAAAACAGTGCAATTGCTATAACAGAATTAACGATAAAAAATGAGTTATTTCTGTAAAACCTTTGGACAACAGATGCCAAACACAAGACAACTATAATAAATACCGCCCACATGCTGAGAGCTAGTCAAACAAACAGCATGGTTATATCTTTTTAATAGCAACTTCAAAACATGGCCAACTTCAGAAAACAGACATACGCATACATATCATAGAGAGTAAAACAAAGTCAAGCCAAAAAGCAAAATATTTACAATTACAAAAATGCATTAGTGGTATTGAAATTGCATTTTTTTTTAAATAAAATGTAATTAAGCTAATGTACAGTACTGTAGCTCAGTATATTCACCACCTGTCACGAAAGTAATTCTTCTTCCAGTATTTTTACAAGAAACCTCAAAAAGCTGTGAACTCGTAGAACTTTAATCAGTTGTGTTGCAATTGTTTTAGGTGAAAACAGCATAAAACATGAAAGCACCAAACTTACTGATTAGTGCGACCTGCTCAATGAGACGTTTCAGTACTATAGCTTTTAATGCTATCCAAACACATTTACTTTTTTCTAATAATAATCCTTATTATTATTATTCAGTTTTATTAAAGTTGTCATTGGTTCTTGTTAAAAAACAAAGACTTTTGTATTTTATCATTCGTATTTAAAAAAAACTGAGTCAAATGTGTTATTAGGGTGGACTCTGAAAGGTCATTAAAGTCTGAAGGTCAAAGTGTCAAAGGTCACAGCACCTGTATTGTATTGGTGAGAGCTGGCAGCATGCTTTATGTGTTTCATGGTCAGGATATTTAGTTTACTCAGAGTCAGTGACCTACTCTCTGCTAGAGTTAGCATAGCTAGCGTTCCAGATGGGACTTGCAATTTAACATGGGAGTTCCCTGGATTAACACTCTAAATTTAGACTAATGCTTCTCTGTCCTTCTTCCACTCCAGCACTCATCTATTCCATACACCCAGTTCTTACACCTATTACATATCCTCCAGTTCTACTTTATTTTGTCTTGTTGTAAAATGTCTGCACTGAGCATTTAGATAAGGTGGTTACTTACATGGTGAAATAATGCTCTTTATCACAATGGTAGTGATGGCTGTTTTGTTTTTTTCCCTTATCCATTTAGTTTTAAAATTTGATATATAGACTGTGATATCGGTATTTGTTTTATTATTATTATTACAGTACAGTGGTTTGACATAGTGAACCTCTGTACTGATTTGCATGCATTCATTTTTTTTGTTTTTACAGGGAAAGAATCTCCATTTGAGATGGATTCAGATATGTCAGCACATTTTGCTTGCTGTTACCTCTAACTTCTTCCTGGGTTCAAACCCGGGCAGGGCCTTTCACTCATTTGCACCTTCTCTCCGTACTTGCACGTATTTCTCTGGGAGCTCTGGTTTCTTCCACCATCTAAAACAATGCCCTAGCCAGCAGGATCTGGTCCTCATTTGCAAAGTAGGCTTTGGGTAATGTAAAATTACACACTGGGCAAGTGGATCATGTAAAGTTACAGTTCTGGTTTTACATTTTGTTAATCATCTGTTACATTCGCAATCGTCACACTTTTGGGCTTTAAAATGCTTCAGTCGGTGAGTCTATTGACAACTTTACTGTCTAGTATTTCAATACATCAACTGTCAAATTCCTGTACTTTACACTGCAGCAGAGGTCCTTAGCTAATGTTCCTGCTCTCATTAAAGTCTGTGTGTGTGGGTGTGTGTGTGCTCGGTTTAAGTAACACATGACTGCGTGTTGTCCCAAACAAGACGTGATGAGAGAGAAGTTTCCTTTTTCAGAGCAAAGACTAATGAAAGATGAGAATCAGAAATGGGATGACGGTTAGAG